CATATCATCGTTTCAGTTCAAATTACTTTAAATTACTAATTACTTAAAATTACCAATTCAATGTATTCTGCGGACTTAAAGTCCTTTAATTTGTATTCTGCGGACTTAAAGTCCTTTAATTGAATTCATTTCGGCGCCTTTGGCTGTCCGGAATTATTCCAAAACACATGGCCAAAGCGCACCTATGCTTTTCGATTTTGTAGATTATGTCCCGGACAGACATGTCCGGTCCCGTCCCATGTCCGTGTCCCGTCCCAAACCCAACACTGCTAATAGGTTATGCCTATATGTCCTCGAAGATATGTGTTATTTCACCGACAGCTTAGTTCACCAACAATTAATTCATCAACAAGTTCATTTCATCGACAATCAATTTACCGACAAGTTCATTTCACCGATAGCCCATTTCGCCAACAATTATTTTTTTATTAATTGTTCTAACCTTAACTCTAATTATAACTAAATAACCAGGGTAACTTTGTCGGTGAAATGAGCTGTAAGTGTAATGAACTTGTCGGTAAATTGATTGTTGGTTAATGAAATTGTCAGTGAGTCAATTGTCGGTTAACTAAGCTGTCAGTGAAGTGATTGTCAGCGAAATACGCACCACCCTATAAATGTTTAGAAATAATAAAACTATTTCCATGTATAATAATCGATCAATTTTTTTTTTGAATAAGAATTGGCGCTGTATCAAGCACAGTATTACCTTTAAGAATAGTAAAATCTTCACCAATTATAGGTAGAATAAATCCAAAATCAAATAATACTATTTTACCCAACCCGTATGATTGACTTTAGGTAGCTCTCCAACCTCTTCTTCCAGGGACCGGCTTCAGGTGGGTTAATGGTTATATTAAGTTCGGAAAATGATACATTAAACTTATCGATTGCCATAAAGTAATTATTAGGAGTATTTTCATTGATGTCTTTTTTGATTACCCCAGCAATGGTGTAAGTATATGTGTCGTTTTGTTGGCCACCTTGTACGAATGTAACTGTACCATTAAATGCTAATAATGTGACCTGAGCTTTGTCACCAACAGAAAACAGAGATTGAGGGTTTTTTTGTAAATAGGTAAAATTAACGTGAAAAGAATAGTGATAATTCTAGTATTCATCATTTTGAATATTTTAATTTTTACATTCGAAAAATTACTGAGTATATCTTTATAATTAATAATTTTTGATACTTCCAATTATTTAATTATTAAAGCAAATCTTTATTTGTCGTCATCAATTTAATATGAGTTCGTGTTAGGAATAGTGATTGGCACAGTAATAAAATTTATTCTCTATTTTGATTCTCTGAAACGTATAATTATAAACTAAAAATATACATTAAAAATATACATTATAGGTGGGCATATAAAATTAATATAAAATTATATTATAATATATAAAAATTATTTGTAGAGTTCCATTTCACTAAGCATTTATCCGGTTAATTATCAGATATCCAGAACTAAATTTATTCGGATATCCATTTACTATCCATTTACTTTGATATCCGGATAATTATCGGATTTCTGAACGATCTTAACTATCCGGATAATTAGATACAGATAAACAGATGACGGATTTATCTGGATACTACGGTATTTTGAACTAAATTAGGCAAAATCATAATAGTTATGGTTAGAGTTTAAATTCATATATGCCCACTTATCACGTTGGCCTCGAAACGAAACCTACCCGAAACTAGTTTCGGATTTTTTTAAAAAAAATCGAAACACCGAAAACTACGGGTTGACCCACCCGTCTTCACCCGGCGGCAATATCTCAAATCTCATAGACAGACATTTGTCTGATTGGCTAATGTAAATCAATTGTCTGGGTAACTTATTTATACAGTTTAAAGTACTTTTTGAGAATGTAACGTTTCACTAACAAAAAATCACTGTAAAAGCCATTTCTAACTTCGAAAGAACGTCTACTGTATATTCATTGTGCAAAAATAATCATAAATAATCAGTAACCCCGAGAACTTCATTTAGAAGCGAATATTTTTACTATTTATTATAGTATTAGTCATATTAACTGTATATGTAAGTTCTAAATGCTGGAAAC